ATGAATTAATGTGTGTGTTTTCCAATCTGTATTTGAATACATGTGTGGTTTTCAATCTCCATAAGAACATGTGTGTTTTGCAATCTACATTTGAATACACGTGTTTTGCAATCTACATATAAATACATGTGTGTTTTGCAATCTACATATGTATGTATGCGTTTTCAATCTGCTCATGAATGCATGTGTGTGGTTTTCAATCTACATATGAATACATGTGTGTTTTCCAATCTGCATGTGAATACATGTGTGTATTTTTCAATCTACATATGAATACGTGTGTGGTTTGCAATCTACATATGAATACATGTCTGTGGTTATGCAATATACAATTGAATATATGCATGTGTTTTGCAATCTGCATATGAATACATGTGTTTTGAAATCTTCATATGAATACATGTGTGTGGTTTGCCATCTCCATATACATGCGTGTGTTTTGCAATCTGCATATGAATACATGCGTAGTTTACAATCTCTATATGAACATGTGTGTTTGCAATCTACATATAAATACATGTGTGTTTTGCAATCTACATATGTATGTATGCGTTTTCAATCTGCTCATGAATGCATGTGTGTGGTTTTCAATCTACATATGAATACATGTGTGTTTTCCAATCTGCATGTGAATACATGTGTGTATTTTTCAATCTACATATGAATACGTGTGTGGTTTGCAATCTACATATGAATATATGCGTGTGGTTTACAATCTACAAATGGATATGAATGTGTGGTTGTTGCTGTAGTTGATGGATGTGTCATTGGTATTGAACATTTTATTCCATTCATCAAACTTACTGCCATGTTGAGCGTGTTGAGTGTGTTGTGGATCAAGACTGAATTAAACCTGTGGCCCATTGCCTCCCCAGTGCAAGTCTAAAAAAGCCAAGATGAATATACATAATTTGTGTCCCACACTCACAGGGCCTCATGTCTTCTAATTTTTTTATCACATTCGAGAACTCTGGTCTCTATCTGTAGTCAAACACGGCTACAAGACTCAGTTTCCCAGTTATCGTCAATTGACCACCACACCAGTGTAAACGAGTCTACTGGCAGATCTAGTAAGGCAGAGATGATACTAAAGATGATAGACTGGTTGCCAAAAGAGGGCGCTATAACAATAGTGATCAATCGGCTGATCAATCACCTTCTTGAGCCGTACTCTCCCTTATTTCTGCTGGACAAGAGCAGTGGCGATCTAGAGGGGGTGTCCGATAATCGACTTACGCCAATCAGTACATTCTGGTAGACCTTTTTCAAAATGGGAATGCCGGGTACACAAGCATGATTTCGTGGCATCACTGGATCTGTTGTGATTTGGGAGTTAAGGCGTTACCCCATCTTTGTTACAACTTGCATGAACTGTATTAAATGGTATCCCAAAGACTTGTCCATGATTGGTAGCAAAATGGCTAAACATGCGTATGATCTTCTACTCAGGAAGGGTGAGCAACGAATATTCGATCCATTCTAAATAGATATGGTTTTGGCCATGCTTGGCTCAATCAGGGGGAGGGGATGGAATTTATATCTTCAGTAAGTTGGTCAATACATTCGGGACGCTTGGCAACAAGAATCGTGGGAAGAGTGTTCAAATACGAGTCGCTTACATAATGTATACTGTCAAATAACATTCGCTTACAACGTTGACAAATATATTCCAGAAAAGCTTATTAATGATCATCGAAAGGGGTTTACTCTGTTATGTTGCTCCAGTTACAATCTCTCTATTGAATCTGACGCAGACATAATTTTTATACATGGCTTTTAGGCCGAGGAAAGAGGCATTGCACATCCTAAAGTAATTCAGAGCAGACTTAATCATTTTCTGGTCAGTGATAGTTTACAGTCTGCCGTATCTGATACATACATGAAACCATGTTTCTTGTCGGATCATTCAGCAATTATTTTAGATTTAGTAAGGGAGGAAAGCAAAAAAGGCAGTTCTTACTGGAAGTGTAACAATTGTTTATTAAACGTCATAGACTACTTAGTATTAATTCATGATAATTTCTCTTCCTAGGTTAAAAATAGGTATAGAAAATGAGTGAGAGTAGAATAAAATGGGACTGGTTGAAATTCAATATAAAGCACGTAACATTACAGCTTGAAAAAGTAGAACAAGAACTAAACTTTAATCCGTCACAGGAAATTATACAACGATATGAAAAAGTAAAAGAAGAATTACAGTAAGAAATTCATTACAGCAAGTCTCAGAAGTATTGGGGCAGCCAATTTGCAAACTCACTAGCGAATTGGCTAACTGCTTGGGTTTTGACTAAACGGTTGGCTTTCGAATCTCGCTGGCGCCGTCTTGCGGTCACGCCCACTTAAGATTAATCTATGTAACAGTAGGGGACGATCCTCATACTTTATGAGCTAATCAGCGACGGTGTTTACAGTTGGATGGCGATTTTGCTTTGAATATACCAGGGAAAGTCTTCTATGCTCTTCGTGCCCACACAAAAACGACGAATGAGGTCGATTTTTTCAGCGGAGTGTGAAAGTTTGTTTACCCCAGACCATTCGTCCCGGTGTTATCGCTATCGCCACACGAGACTCCAGCTTGTCTCCTATACAATTTGACTGCGCACATCCAGAAAGTAGATGTAGCTGTGATTGGTGGAATACTAATGAGTTGAGTGTCAATCAAACGCCCACGCTATCTTTAGTAAACAAAGTCACGTGACACGCGCCATTTTAGTTTTGGCAGGCGATTTCAAGGCAGCACGCTTAACCCTTTCGTTTACAGGTTGGGAGATATTAGAATGACTGACAATTTCACGCCACTGTTTTACATTATTGGCGGATTTTTCTGCGCTATCAATCTTTCTCTTACAAACTAGACATAGATGAGACGACAGAGTCGCTCCTTTCACAACGTCGCACTGGATCAAATTGGAAAGACGATTTCCATAAGTTATCCCTCCTGCTTTTCC